AATATTCACTCTTTTAGAGAATATGCTGATTGTCTCATGCGTGCATGCTACTAAAACCACAACCTCTGCATTGACTTCTGATGTGTTTTTAATCAAAGCTTTTGGAATAGAATCTCATCTTTAGGTACCCAGAGATTCCTATATTCATTCTTATGCGGATATAATTGTTCACTGTTTTTGCGTGAACACACACTTTTCATAGCAAATCTGAGCATTTAACGAAGAGCTGTGATTGTTTTGAATTAACTTACAGCATTGTTTAAAAGTGCATTATGATGCATAACTCACAATCTGACAGCCTGTCTGTTATCCATGCGTCACTCTATCACTAAATCCTAAAACATGGCGAGTACAAGTCGATGTTCTGTCTGAACAGGACAGAGAGTCTGCAACGATGCACGGGAGATGTAACACCACCAGATATAAAAGTACATCAGCATTATGTGGAAGCATCATGTCATGAAAGGGAAATAACCCTCAAGGCCCAGCTTTGCATGTTCTGCTTGTGCAAAACCTGACAGAATCTTACGATTTTCCAAAACACACAAGTTTCACTTTCATTAGCTTCAAATATGAGAAGCTTTGGAGTTTAGTGGTTTGCCTTTAAAGACAGCTTTGTGAATGCAAGATGAAGAGAAGGGAGCTGCTGTAGTAAAAACCAGCTCAATAATCAGATTTAATGAAATCTAGCATGCAATGATTGATTATTAATCAACCATTGTTTTCGATTAAATGTATTTTTCATTAACTTGAATCATGAATTATCCGAACGATGGATATTCTCAGAAATGACTTTTCTTTGAAACTCCGAAAGCCTGCGGTGTTACTTACTGACTCTGCCAGAACAAAAATTAAAACTGAAAGGAATTCCCTTTTTAAATCTCCAAACACCTCATTGTCCACATCATGGACTCCGCTGAAGAGATGAAACTCTTCTTGTTTGTGTTATCAATTTTTAGAAGTTTTGGACATTACCTGATGTATGTATGTTCACACTTTCGCTAAGCGAGCTGAACAGCGCAGGCCGCTGATTTTATTACAGAACTGTTGTTGTGATAAAAATAGCAACAACAAGACTGACTATCAGTACTGATAGTACTGTATTGATTAAGAAGTCAGTGCGGCGGGGATTGTGCAAAGAGTGAAATATCTGCAATACACAATTATGAAATAAACTAATAAACATAGACAAAACAGTGACATAGCTTGAGTCCCTTAAAGCTTCCTGGAGGAGTTTTAAGTTGGTTTTGAAAGAGACTGAAACTAATACTGATGTTTCTATAGGAACTACGAAAGAAAAAGGAGACCATCAACAACAAGATTGATCATTTCTACAAGGAAATGTTTAATTGCTGCAATAGGGATGTGCAGCTGTTGCCAAAACAAGATGTGTTTCATTTCTGAGGTAAAGATTCACAAAAAGAAAAGAAAAGAACAAAAAGAAAGCAGGATTTAAATTCAGTCAGTAAACAAACCTTACACATGTTGAGGACAAAAACAGCAAAGAGGGGCGCACTGGTGGCGCAATGGTTAGGGCGCGCGTCCCATGTGTTGAGGCTCTCGTCTCAAGCGGTAGGCCCGGGTTTGCTTCCACCCATGGCCTCTTTCCGCATGTCATTCCCCACCCACTGCCCTCTCTCTGCATTAAAGGCACAAAAAGCCCAAAAAATAAATCTTAAATTTTTTTTAAAAAAACAGCAAAGAAAGGAAATGTATCAATTTGTCCACAGGGGGCGCCAAAACTGACACTGACCAAAATGTGTGCACAGGAGCTTTAAGTAAATAATGTTAAGTAAAAAAGACGAACCATCATTTTCTTAGATGTTTCCTCTAGTATGCAGTGACGGTCTGCAGTGGAAAAAGAAGAGATAGCAAGTACCAGATTGAAGATGAGTAGAGGCAAAACACTGTTTTGTGGAGAAATGGCTATAATTCAGCATTTTAAAGTTCCCTTTATTCAACTGTTCCATTAACCAAGCAAACATTTCATACAACTTTATCTGCTTACATCACGATGCTAGAAGCTATTGTTGAGTCGTTGCAGAGTTCGATGCTTCGTTTCCTTTTTTTTTTTTTTTTTACATCATTGCAGAACCAAGCAGCTACACTTTCTGACTGTGCTTGCTTAAAGCTGCTCCATTGTTTGAAGTATACTGCTGAGGTAAACAAAAACCCCGTAGCTCTGCACAGTCAGTGATGCTTCTTCATCTTGCTTCTCACTGTTTCTCCAAGCTCATATCTGGAGGTTTTTATCAGATTTTGCCGCCATGATAAAAAACATAGTCATTATAATCCAGGACTGCAGGGCTTTCTCTCCCCTTTATCTACGTCACCACCTATATTTGTCCCATAAAAACAGGCTGAGGCGAAATCTTTACTTTTTCTATTCTTCTTGCAATTGTTAAGCAGAATTGAGTCGATAAGATAACTTGTGCCTCAGGTGACGGTTGGAAACTGTTTTGTTGCTGAATGATTTATTGCTGAACACTGCATGTATTATTTTGCACATACTTTACAGTATATGTGGATTAACTTACTCATGAATGAATTGTGGTTGTTGATTTTTATGGGTTGGTTCTTCTGTAAGTTTTGTTTTTATGGGTTTATTTGGTATTTCTTGACTGTGATAGTTTTTTTGTAAGAGTGAAGTGACAGTGTTTGTTGTCATTTCTGTCTAAATAAGTAGATGTAGATGCAGAAAAGTGAATTTTAGTATCATAGGTGCAACATAAGTCATGGGTCAGTGTGCACCTGTGTGTTGGTCACGCTGCTGAAATAGTCAAAGCTTTATAATGACGGCTGTTTTTTAAAGTCTCCATTTCCAAATGTTGCAAGAACTTTTGATTTAACCTCTACAGATGCTGCATGAAGCTAGTGTTATACGTCCTCCACTCATTTTCCGTTATGTGTGCACGTACTAAAAAGTGTGTGAACGTGTTATTTCAGCTGTGCTTTTTCATGGCTTCATAGCCCTTACACGCGTCGTAAAGTCATTGAACTTGAATAAATGTCTCCTCACCACCAGCTTGTCATGCCTGTAACGTGAGCTCCACACAGACTTCTCTCTTCCTGCTGCCGAGCATTCTCCTGGTATACACTTCCACACTTAGCTATGCAGCTGAGCTGGACTGTGCTGTGCTTAAAAAAGCATCTCATTACCATACAGGACAGCTTTATCCACAGGAGGGGGAGTTGAAAATACACACTGACACACACCATCCCCCTGACATCCAGCATGGAGAAAGGGATACATTATGGATGGAGACACGGTAGAGTAGCCGATAGGCCATGAAATAAATTGGTTCAAACACACATGGACAAGCTGGCTGTGTCAGTCCGAAAGGTGTGGCTGGCGTCCCGGCACCCCATTTCACTCCCAAGACTGAAGTACTGCCAGAGTATGAACTTTGACCTCATTCCCAGGCTATAACAGTGTCAAATAGCCAAGCTAGCAAACTCCCTCTGCAGCTCATTTTGTCCAATTTAACTTTCCATTCTTCACCCTTGAAGTTTGTTTGAATCAGAGCGCACTCCTGCAGGTTTCCGTGTCAGGCTGTGAGGGAAGCAGCTGATCCACAGCGTTGCCATTTTTCGTCTTCGCGGTAGGTTTTATTACAGTAGATCCACTACAGCAAACCCTGAAAGTTGGTGTCTTTCTGCAGGTGCCGCAAACACAAAACACAAAACACAAAACACAAAACACAAAACTTTCTGCCTTCTGGTTTTTACATGTCGTTTCTCAGATACCGCAATTGAAGTGTCACAATAACTACTCGTCAACAAGCGACGTGTGTTGCACTTTTCACAGCTCGGAGCGGTGGGTGGGGGTTCTAAATAAAACTCAGGCATCTTTTGTTGTTCTTTGTTTGATAATCTTTTTTTCAGGGGGGGGGGAGGGGAAGCTACACCATATCAGGTGATGAAGTTTGTGTCTGCTTGAGGGTGAAACAACTTGTGTGTGGAGAAAGCAGCGACTGAAGTTTGAAGCATTGAAAGTGATGAGAAGTTTGTTTGACAGGTAAAGAGGTGTTGTGCTTCTGCTGTCAGACACACTAGCACGCTTGAGGTATCACATATAAAGACAGTGTACACAAATCTAAAGTTTTCAGCTGCGTGTGAGGCGAACATTTCAGAAAGTGCACTGTGAGATTCAAATTTGAGGTGAAAAAATTGGCCATCTGAACTGACTGAGCTTTTACGGTTTTCATTTATTGGGAATATGAATTCAAGGAGGTTGAGCTTTGTGTCGCTTCTTCTTATTACAATGTAAGGTCTGGTTCTGCAAATGTCAGTGGCCATTGCAACAACCTCTAAATCTTGATTCAATGAATTATTACTCTGCTTTACAAAGAAAGCTATCCAGAGTAAGTTCAACTATTTCAATGATGAATGAGACTCATTCACCCGAGCATTGACATGAGTGCTTCTCTGACCTTCTCTCCAACTTTGTTACTAAACTTGGGATGGGAGCCAACAATCACCATCTAAAATTTTGAGTTTTTTAAATAAATTTGTCTGCCGAGGAAAAATCTGAGACTGTTTTTTTTGTCCACTTGTGATTTTTGGGAGCAACTCTGACTACGGATCATCATTTAGGATATTAAGTGTTTGCATTAGATGCTGACTATATCACCAAAGTTGTTTTGTTAGATGGAAGTTGTCGCGATTTGGTCTCATTTAGTTTTGTATTTCAGCGTTCAGGTTTCCATGTTTTAATTTCTCCTGTCCATCCTGTTTTATTTGGTAGTTTCTTATCCTTGTGTTTCTTTGTTCTCGTGGTAATGTTACATTCTTGAGTTCTGTGCGTCTTTAGTGTTTCATGACTTAGTTTGTAGTTCTCCTCAGTGTTTCTTGTATTTATTCCTGCCTCTGTGTGTTTCCCTCCGTGTTGATTACTCTGATTGCCTTCACCTGGGTTATTAGTCTCACCTGTGTTTGATTACCCCTGTGTCTATTTAGTCTCTGTGTTTCTTCCCTCGAGTTGTCAGATCATTGTTGTAAGTTGCCAGTGTTGTTTGTCGTATGTGAGTCTATGGTGGATGTCTTCTGCTCTAATGTTTTGACTTCTAGTTTTTGGTTTAAAGTAAGTTTTGTTTTTAGCTTTTTTGTTAAAATAGATCTTATTTTTAGTTTCTGCAATTGGTTCCACCTCCTCTTTGTATTGTTCATCAATCTGCTTATGACAGAACTACTTGTGGTTTACCTTGATTTTAATCAGGAGAGACAAGTAAGTGAATCAAATATAAATCTTTATTTTACATATGGGATATTGAATACAGAGAATATGTGGTGCTTAAACTCTACAGGGAGACAGGGTTATCGTTGTAGATCCATCCCCCCCCATGGAGTCCAGACACTGGTGTCGGAGGCGTGAGCTGATGATGTCGTCTGAGTGTATGCGATGAAGGAGCTGATTGAACTGTGAAGACGTGGGGTTTGATGAGAAGAAGGTTGATGATGTCTTCTGAGACTTGTAGGATAAAGAGGCTGACCAAACTGCAACTCCGGACGATGGCTGATTCTGTGATCTGAGGCTGATGGGACGAAGAAGCTGCAAAGGCTGGTTGGTGATGGGGAGGTGGAGGGTCACACTTAACGGATGGCTTGAATGAACTATAGTGGAGGAGAAGGCCATATTTAAAATAAGACAGCAGCAATATGATAGGCTTACGATGATGGAGTGGAGCAGTGCTATTGGATAGATGTGACCAGGTGATGTGAACAGCTGATAATGACAAGAAAATGGAGCATGCGTGGAGGAGAGATGTCACACAGTATGAGAATAAACTATAAAATGAGCATGCAGAATGAAGTCTTCCTGACTGAACATTCTCAAATTGCAATGCTCATACACTTTTTGACACCACATGTTTTAGAACAATAAAATTGAATTACGTAATGACCAATAATATCATAAAGTATTGAAGTGATAATATACTACAGATCTGAAGTCAGATTTAAAACCAAAAGCTGCCGTAAGGGAAAAAGAGAGATTGCTTTCTAAAAAGAACAAATCCTTTGGCAGTGTTTTATTGCAACGTAGACATTGTGCAGAAGATTGCTTGATAGTTTTTATTTATTAAAAACAAAAAAATGACACTGATATTACCAATGATATTGGATACCTGGTAATTCTGTTTTTGTTGCCGTTGTATCCAAACAGCTACCAGTAATATTTTATTGATTTTAACTGGTATCATATCAAAGTAAATTCTAGTATTGGGACAAACCTTAAAATACACCACTGCTTTGAGACTTTCCCAACGACACAACTGGACTTCCCACTTCGTATTTAAGCTTCTCAATGGTATCCAGAGTAACATGTCTACACCAACAGAGCCGTTTTTATTTTGTCTCAATACTTTATTGGTTTTAAGGGGAAGGAAAACCCAGCATGGAATGAGATCTGGATTGTGTCCCTGTGTTTAACGCCAGTTGCCATCAATTCTCCACATGTGTTGTCATGAACTGGCTGCAGAGCTAAACCCTGGGGCCTATGAATTACATACTAGATCCACAAATACATTCATATGTATTCCTGTTTGAACTTGGAGCCGACAGAGATAGCATCAACACCATATGGATGCAGTACAAGCCAATGAATCCATAAATAAGACTTTGTAGAAAAGAAACACATCCGCCTTAGTGTACTGAATTTATTTTAAGTTTCACACATAAAAGGTTGTTCACATACAAACCCACTCTCAAACTTTTACACTTGGACACTTAAAAGTGAGGCAGAGGACTGTAAATGTGACAGTTCAACTGCTCTGTTAGACATGTGTGTGTCTGTTTGTGTTTGTATGCACGTCTTTATGTTTTAGATATTTCTTCTTTATTGTGGCACATGGAATGAAAGCCACAGCGTGGGACACTGGGCAGGCGTTATTCAATCCTTGTGTTTGTGGGCCTTGGCTCTGTGCCATGCCACATTACCGCCCACTGAGAGAGGAACTTCAAAGAAGGTTCGGGGGCTTTTTCCCCTGAGTGGAGCCACTGAATCTTCTGCCCGTTCAAATAAACTCCAGTTACAGGGGCATGTCCTAATTGGCTCCAAACGCCATCAGTTTATTTATCTTTGAACCTTATTTTTACTTGGTGCCCTCTGTGTGAATCCCCTCTGGAGCTCACATTAAATATGCCATTTGGTGGATAATTTTGTCCAATGTTCCTCAGAAGTCCAAAACTCTGACAGCTGCAGAAGGACCAACACCTTTAAGAGTTAGTGCTTCACACTTTGATTGGACTGAAATACCAATTAATTATCCATCCCAGTTATAACAGCTCAAATGCATTTAAAAATGAGCTGTACTTTGATAGTGTGTACCTTACGTCATAGTTACGAGAAGTAACATAACAGTGACCCAAACCCTAGTTTCTCAATGACTTGTAACGACACTGTTTACTTTAAAATATCAAGTCCACATCCTTTGCTAAACAGACCTGTTTCCTTCTTGGTTTTCAAAACAAACACAGATGGTAAAAATGGGAGAAGGGCCTGGGCCACAGCATCCTCTCTGGAAGCCACCTGCTTCATTGAAATGTTATTTAAGCACAAGTAAGGCGGCAATAGGTTTGTTAAAACAAATGTACACTCTAAAAGACGAAAAAAACGCCAGACCTCAGGTATTCCAATAAAAACACACTAAACTTAAACCACTGCCTCATGGAAACATGTTATGACTTTGGCCTGCAGTGCGAATGAACTTAATTGTGGTTTACAAAGGTGTTCTTTACAGGACACATTTGGTAGCTGTTTACAACTGGAATCAGTATGAATAAGGATGTGGTTGGATTGGTCCTTTTTTACAGCAAGAACATGCAAACTCCACACAGAGAGGTCCTGTCTGACGGGGATTTGAACCAGGAACCACCTCGCTGTAAGGCAACAGCCGTGCAGCCCCTCCCTTAGTGTCCTAATATTTTCTTTTTTACATATTTATTATTCAATTGATGATTGACTTCATCATCATGAGCTGCACTGTCAACCTAATTAGTATAAAGCTCTTGTCTATTCTTCTAGCCATTCAAAGCGCTTTTATACAACATGTTGAGGTTGCATTAGACTTTTTTGCGGTCCATCATTTTGACGGACATGGCTGTAAAGATTTTGTTATCATCCGTGACTTTGATTTAAAAATGTTTATGATAATGAATCATAAACTGCACTGCTTGCCACCCGGACTTACGTTTTCCTCAAAGGGACAAAAAATTGTTTCGTAACATATCGTATCATTGAGCGTACGCATTTATACCAGCCAATAAGGTTTGCTTTGCATGTTTCTCTGCTCACTGAAGATCCAGACAACAGAGAATGGTTAAATCCTTAATACACTGAGAAGTGATTGTATTAAACTCTAAAAATGTCAGTACATAAGTACAGTAAGAAACCCATTGACAGAGAATGTCAAAGTGAGAGGCTATCTGGAAATGGAAAACTCCCACTTCAGGTAATAAATAAGATTGTTACTTTGCTGACATAATTAGCTTGCCTCGTCTGACTCTGGGCGTCATTGACATTTTCAAAGCATTTTTATATGACTGATGTGGTGTTTCTTTTTTTTTGTCAAAACTGTCCTTCAACTTGTTTAATAATATGGCTTTACTTTATTGGCCCTTTCTTTTCCCGAGGACATGAACACACTTAAGCAGTAAGCTCAAACAAATGCTCTTGGATATGAAAAGGGTGTTCTTTGAATTGCCAACTGTCTGTCTTGTTTCTTCCTACACTTTCACATGCTGTTCAAAAGACAGAGTTGAACAATGTTGATCTTGGTACTGCAAGTGAAAAAGCTGGAGCTTTTTGACCTCCACAAGATGTAGTGAGTCATGAGTCAATCCATCAGTTTTTACCAGCAAAGTTATCTCAACATTATACTGTAGAGTATGTTTAGACCTATACTCTCTATTATATTACTTACAGAACCCCAACTGAATCCATAATACTCATGTATTTAGTAACAGTTTCGAAGGAATCCGACCTTTTAACAGGCTGATACCTTAAAGGAGCTATATGTAACTTTCAAAAATACTGCGTTTGTAGCGATACACCATGGCCTTAGGTTAGGCGAACTGCACCAGTAACCTGTTGCTCGCTCTCCCTCGCTTGCTCGTCATACGTGCTCGTACGTACACAAACGAGAATCATCGTCGGCCGCCAAACACTGGATATTTACCGGCATAATGTTTACAGAGGAGGTAAGTGGTCATACACATGTGAAAGTCTGTGAAAGAGTCTGTGTTGTGATTGAGGCCGGTCGTTTATTTGTACTAACAGATTCCATATTAGATCAATTTTCCATCCTACAAACGACAGTCTCGGCAGGCACTGGCTGAGAGCAGGAGTGTGTGATGAGTTTGTACTGTTGATCTCTGTAAGAGAAGCGGAGTGAGCAGGACGTTGAGAACGTGCATAAAATGTCACTTCCTGGCGCTTTTGCGGAAAATATGACCCGGGTAAAAATTGTATACGGCAACACAGATAGACAGTGAACATCTACTTTTTCACATCAGTTAACCGTTGGCTTATTAATGGGCGATTTAAAAAAACGATTTATGTAAAAAGTTACATATAGAACCTTTAAGCAGAACGTGACACATTGGTGGAAAGTCATCTGCCGCAACCTGCTGCGACAAAAAAAGTTGGATAGAGAAGCAGAAAGGTGTTTTCGATGTTTTCCTGAGGTGTTTGAAATGAGAAACCACGTACGTAAGAGAGCTTGTAAACTTGTAAACAAATATAAACTCCTACAGCTGGTCACGGGATTGGCTGCAGTTGACTGTGGCGCAGGTGGTAGGACGTACTGTCCTTGAGCACCTGAACAACAAATTGCTCTCTGAGAGGAGGCAATCATTTTGCTTGTTCTGTCCCCATCCATGTGTTGCTGTGTGTGTGTGTGTGTGTGTGTGTGTTTGTGTGTGTGTGAGCAGGTAAATGAAAGGCATTTATCCTGCTCAGACAGAAAAGCGCTGCGTAAGTGCAGTCTATTTACCATTTACAGAGGTGCTGATAGCATAGTTATATGCTAACTCTATGAATTCTGTAAGGAGTATGATGCAACCTGTGAAATGTTTAACAGAACGACTATCTGCCAGTGGAGATATGGAATGTTTTGTGCCTCTTTAAGCCACATGGAGCTCCCTTGCTGAGTCATTTTGCCATACGTGCACAGTTTGAGAGTCATTACATGCATTACACTGCATTGTCATCTCTGTCAGAAAGCTCCAGCACTGCTGCCTTTCAGATCAATTCCCTCTATTACCAACCCTCCATCAATCCCTCCATCCTCCACTCATTCAGCGCTCTATGTTTAACAGGATTGAACAAATGGCAGCCTCTATTAGCCAGCCATGTCTGGGTCACTTAGTGCTGAAGATCTAGGTGAGAGAGGTACAGATTTTAAATCCTACCGTCCTTCTCTTCTTCTGTTCTCCTCTCCCCACCATCAACAGACAGGAGATGTGCCTCAGCCCTCTGCAGAAGCAGCTGTCTCTAAGCCAGGGATTAAATGATTCACTTACCAGCCGCGTTTTAATCCTCCCTGTCACACTCTTGCTCTCAGACACACTCGCACACACATACTTTGTTACTTTACGATGGTCCACCAAATTGAATTATATTTGAATTAATATCCCGGAGTTAGATATGTGTAATTAAACATTGGCATTCAGCTACGAGTGGAAACTGGGTGTTAAAGCAAGTACATCTAGCAGAACATATCCGTACAACAAGTCAGCCATGTGTCCCATTATAAGCACATTAGATGAAAGTACTTGTCTAATGAGGTGATTGAGTGCTTCAGCAG